CTCGCGAGCGCCAAGCTTTTACGACCTCTCTCTTCTTGTGTCAAAACCCTGTAAGATGGATATTCGTTCTTGCAGCCTCGCCGTAGCTTCTCAGCAGCGCGCCACACACACCTTATACGAGCGCTTACTTGTATTATGGGGCTGACCTACGAGCACTTCTTTCCTCTTTTTTTTTTTTTTTTTTTGAACAATTTTTTTCAAATTTCATCCGACCGCTCGTTGGAGTATATCGACGTTGCACTTTCTTTCTCTCACGCTCGCTCTCTGACCAGCTGGTCATTCCAAAGGGCAAGTCTGGCGCACGTAGTATATATGCTGCGCCCTGTTTCGAGCTAGAAAGAAGGAAATGACTATGTGCTGGCAGTATAAGTACCAGAGCGTTATGTATATAATTCTGAGCAGTTTTTTTTACTTTTTGTTGAGTTTTGTGGGGAAGTTCACGGATCTGACCCATAATGTAGTATGTTATTTGTGTTATCTGGGGGGCCCCTCAAAGGTCTAAAATTACAGATAACCAAATAACATACTGAATTTTGGGGCAGATCCGTGAACCCTCCCCACGAAACTCACCAAAAAGTAAAAAAAACTGCTCATCTATATAGTTGCTGTGTAAGTTGCGGAAGAAAAAAAGGACGATCTAATCGAAGTCTCGGCGTAAACTGTAAAGCGAACCTGCAGAGAAGAGGCTCTGTTGAGTTCGGGATACGTAAGTCTGTCTATTTGTGTGTGTGTGTGTGTGTGTGTGTGTGTGTGCACGCGCTAAGGCGGTTCAATCAAGCGCACAGAGAAAGAGAGAGAGAGAGCGAGAAACAGAAAGAACAATTCGCTCGCTTCGTTAATTGGATCCGAGGCTGCTGCTGCAGCATTGCTACCACTATACAACTTTACGACGCAATCGACACGAATTATCCGCTGTAGGCAACAAACCACAAGCTCAATCGACTACTACACTTCAAGCTCCCTTTCCCCGATCCTGCACTTGCAGCAACAGCATCGGCAGCAGCCCCACTTCTATATAGCTCCTTATATACAGGAGCAGCGGCACACCATATACTTGAAAACGTAAGTGTGACATTATTATGAGCTTGTCGGAATTGAAACACCCCATTACTTTTCCGATTGCGGTCATTCTGTATATCACTTTTTTCATACTTTCTCACAGAGAGAGAGGGAGAGAACTCACTCTTATATATTTTTAATACAACTTCTTGCGATTGATACTTTTAATGCGCCATTAATAGAACGAAGAGCGCAAAAGCGTTAAGTGCCTGTTAAACAACCGATAAATTTACACAGATAATAACGCGAAAGCATTGATTATTTATTGGCGAATGTGTGTATCGAACGCCGAGAGTGTTTGTAATACTTTGCAAAGTGCGCGTTATAATACGCGAGAGCTCGATTCATCAGGCATACACACGAACACTCGCGATCAATCATATAATGAGCCGCGTAGTTTCACACACACACACATACAGACACAGACACTCGCAGACCAATAAAATCAATGATCGGAGCTTAATTATTGAAAAGCTCCGATTTCGCAGGCATTTACACGTATTATAACGCGCTGTATCGACGAAGAAAAAAATAAACACATCCAGTCAGACACTACGTACAATGTATACATATTCGTTCGTCGGAAAAAGTAATGATGTATCGCGCGGTCATGCACATGTAATAAAGTCGAATTAATCGTTAACCCAGTAACCTGAAATTCGATGAAAAGCGAGGATCCGTATAACGCGCTTACAGTATACATATACGAATGGGTGTCAGGTCGGCCCAAGCGCGCATTAGCAGAGCTATAGGTGTAGTAAGTAGTCGCGCGGCGTTGTGTGCAGCACTCGGGGTGACAAAAATTATGCAGCTTTTCCGCCGCCCGCGTTAAAAGCTGTATATTATATATAATACGTCTATAAGTGCATCATCAAGCTGCTACAATTATGTATAGGCTGGGCGCGCGCGAGAGAGACTGCAACCGAGTACGTGTATCGTTACATTCTAACAGTGCGCGCGGAGTATATATGCTAGATGTTCCAGGGGTGGTGGTGGAAACTGAATGTAAGGATGCAGCAGGCAGGCGGCAGAAGCGCACTTAGCTCCACGCGCGCACGATGTCACATCGCTGTCGTGAAGCTATAATACACAACGACGAAGCGTAAGAGGAGAAGACGTAGTCGTCGTCGTCGTCGTTGCTGCTGCTGCGCAGCAACTAATTCGATAAATCAATTAATCAAGTGGATGGAAATTTATGAAGCCTCGAAGCGCGCGTCACCATACCTGATACCGCACACAGTCGTGCGCACACTTACGTATCGCACAAATACACACATACGCAATGCAGCCGCCACGTACAGTCGCTAACTATTATATTGCAGCAGCAGCAACGGCAGGCAACGTTTGGCTTTTGCATAACGAACTATATATACATATATAATATATATATGTGTACCTGCTGCAGCGCACCGAACGAGCCCCGGCATCCGCAGTATCCTTTGCTAATAGCGCACACAGACACAGAGAGAGATACGATACATAACTTGTCGTCTTGAGTCGTGTATACGCAGTGTAGCTCGAGCGAGCGAGAGAGCAGTGCACTCGACTCCTATACGTTACACAACTTGCTGCTCCTTCCATCGTGCGCGCTACACTGCCGATCGCGTTATGTGCGTTAGCTTTGAAAATATATACGTGCGTATATGATTTATCATCGCGGAGCATCTGTCGATCGCGGCTCGTAGTTGTTGCTGTTGCGCTATTATTGTTACTATATATCGTTGCTGCAGACCCGCAGGATCAGCAACGCAACAGTTTTCATTCGCGCCTTTCCCCGTCGCAATATAGCTCTGATATCCGCGAGTCGACACTTTCACCCGCGACGACGAGCGCGTGGCATGTGGCATGTGCACTGCAATTTTCCAATCACCTCTGCACTGCGGCAGCGATAGGAGCAGCAGCCGTTGATCATTTTTTCTTCTCGTCCAACTCCGTAATAGTGTGTCGTTTATTTATATATAATATATACGTAACGTTCGGCTTACCCAGAGCAACTCCGCGCGTCTTATTATTTAAACCGTCGACTTGCTCTAGCTCTCGCGTTTGCGCTAATAATAATCCCGCGCCTCGTAATCCCTGGCGCGCATAATACTAAAGTCGGCGCTATGCTTTGACGAATTAAACATTTAACGCGCGCGGTGACATTCATATATGATAATATGCAGGCAAGGATCAGGAGAATACTTTGCATGGGATATTTATAATTTTCTTCTCACAAAGTTTTGACTTTTGAATATTGAGATTTCTTATATAGGGGTCAAGAAACACAACATGCGTGCTGGAACGGAGATCCAAAGTTTCGTTTAGTTACCATTATTTGGCTCCATTATTTTCCCTGCAATATATTTCACCAGTGCTTCGTACATAATCCTAAAATATTTACAACTCGTAATATACCATCCGCCATATATAAACATAACGTTAGTTTTGGTATCAAGTAACATTACACTACTATAAACACATATCATTCGAGACAGTATGAATATTATTATTATATTAGCTGCAATATTTAATTTGACAACGTCCTTGTACTCGCGTGCAGAGCTTATTCCTTTACACGATACCCACAGTGCAAAACAATGAGCAATATTTAGTTGCTACGGGCATCATATGAGTGCACCTGGATGAAAGATTATTTTTGTTTTCTTCGATGAAAGTTTGTGAACCAATTTCATCGATACCTCGTAAAACTTTATAAAAAAGAACAAAAAACAGAGCTTGCATATGGGTCAAAATAATACTTTTTTACAAAACCGTGCGCGCGTGTGTCACCAATCATGACGCGCTTTTGGTATGTTATCGTACATGGTAAAAAGGTCCCAAAAACAACATTTTAAACCCCCTCCCCCCTCCTACCCTCACTTCCGGTATAAACGTCCATTTTCGATCTATATTTTTTCTTCATAAGAAAAATAAAGAATTTTTTTTAATTATCACAACCAAAAGGTATTTCATGGAGTTCACGGGGTTTCGATGCGGTGTTTTTTTTCGCAGCGCTTTGAAGAGTCGTGTTTTTTTTCATGGTATTCAAAGAGGTGTGTTTTTTTCGCAGCGCTTCGATGATGTGTGTTTTTACTCGTAAGCAACGGCGATTTAACACAACTGAAATTTTCTTATTTCAAACTATAATTACAGCTAAAACTTTACTATAGAAGAATTCAAAATCGTGGTAATACTTTTTTTTAAAAGATTAAATGAGTGTCAGTATGACAGTCTTATCCTTGTAATTTGAGTCTAACTACAAAATACTTTTTTTTCTCATTTCGGAAAGGTTCAATAATCTCAATTAGCGATTGAATTATTACTCAGCTTAAGTAGAATGATTTAATTAAAATGAATAATTTAAAAGTGAAATTTTTTTCGACTCGAAGTTGCCATAAAAAACCTATTGAATTATCTGGATGATTCAAACAAGCCATACAGGCAAATAATTATTTTTTATCAAAATCTTCCGCACATTTTAGCAACAATTATTTCATATGAATTTCATATATATTTTACGTAAAGTTTATGTATATTATTTTATATCAATATTACATGTATTTTACGATAATTTCATGTGAAGACATTGTAACTCTATATTCTCTCTGTATTATCTTGGTAATAAATGATAATATTCACTCGTGAAATTCACATACATTTTATATAAAATTCATTTATGATCCACAGGAATTTCATGTATATTTTACGTGAATTTCATGTGTACTTTTTGATCAATTTTACGCATATTTTACGTCAATTTCACGTAAAAATTTTTCATCAAATTCCCCTCGAAATATTTGACGTTAGATACACGTGAAATTTACATGAATTTTACATGAACTTTTCACGATACTTGTCACCGGTAACCTTAGTAGTCTAGCTTCAATTTCCGAAATATTTATATTACAACTACTAGAAAAATCATTGAAAAAAGGAAAAAAATATTTAGAATAATGTTATGGTGATAGTTCGATTTTATTATTAATCTATCATAAAATGCGCAATTTAATTTGTGCTTTTCAAAAGTAAATATTTTTCTATCCAAGCGATTGTGTTTGTGTGCGAGTGCGCAGAACGATGTCCATGTACGACGACGAATCCGAAAAGAGTTTCCATGTCGAAAACGAAGTCGGCGAAAGCCACGACTACGATTTTAAATACGTGGATCATCTTAACCAAAAAAAACCACTAAATCAGACAGATTGAAGAGCTTACGATTACATAATATGCAAACGATAACATTCTGTCTATGTTGCTTAAATTTGAATCTACGTCATTGCTCAACAACGATCCGGTAACTTTATTAAAGCCATGAGCCATTGCGCATAGAAGTAATGTCTGGCTCAATTTGTCCAGGGTGTCAACCTCTTAAGTCTCATATTCTTCGTGGCCTTCTCCAAGTCTATGGTCGCAAATCTGTAGACAAATAATGTTAAGGAATATTGCTGATAAGTTATGCCTTGTAACAACATAATTCTTATTAACTAGTTCAACAAATAACAATGGAGAAATTATTGATATCGCAATTAACGGTCACGTGTGAAGCCAAATTCTTGTCACAGTGAGAAATGATTCCGTTCAAAAATTCGTATGTGTTTCGTGTTCACTGTGTCATAAATACTTGCTCATTTATGTAAAGAGTATAAGATGTATTCACACTGTAGAGATTTTTCTCGAGGATATCATCGAAGCCATACCTTCAGAACACATTAAAATGAAATTTTCCCATGAACTTCGTGTACTTACCAACAACGTGTCTGCAATCCTGCCCAGTCATTCGGAGAGAAAGGTAGAGTCTTTGCGATGGTTGAATTAGGTTATTATCAGCTCGAAATACTGTCTTGTCTCCTTAAATAAATCTGCGGACGAGGTTCACGGATTTTCCTGAAATTTTGGTATGTTATAGTACATTGAAAAAAGGTCCCAAAAACAAAATTTTAGACCCCCAGCTTCTATTTAAACGTCCATCTTCTATTTATATTTATTCTGAATCCCTAAAGTAATTAACACCACTCACTCAACAGCGATCCAGTAACTTTATCAACGTTGTGGGCCATTGCGCATCGAAGTAATGTCTGGCTCAATATGTCCGGGACGTCAACCTCTTAAGTCTCATATTCTCCGTGGCCTTCTCCAAGTCTTTATATTCGCAAATCTGTAGACAAATAATGTTAAGGAATATTGCTGATAAGTTATGCCTTGTAACAACATAATTCTTATTAACTAGTTCAACAAATATCAATGGAGAAATTATTGATATTGCAATTTACGGTCACGTATGAAGCCAAATTCTTGTCACAGTGAGAAATGATTCCGTTCAAAAATTCGTATGTGTTTCGTGTTCACTGTGTCATAAATACTTGCGCATTTATGTAAAGAGTATAAGATGTATTCACACTGTAGAGATTTTTCTCGAGGATATCATCGAAGCCATACCTTCAGAACACATTAGAATGAAATTTTCCCATGAACTTCGTGTACTTACCAACAACGTGTCTGCAATCCTGCCCAGTCATTCGGAGAGAAAGGGAGAGTCTTTGCGATGGTTGAATTAGGTTATTATCAGCTCGAAACACTGTCTTGTCTCCTTATATAAATCTGCGGACAAGGTTCACGGATTTTCCTGAAATTTTGGTATGTTATAGTACATTGAAAAAAGGTCCCAAAAACAAAATTTTAGACCCCCAGCTTCTATTTAAACGTCCATCTTCTATTTATATTTATTCTGAATCCCTAAAGTAATTAACACAACTCACTCAACAGCGATCTGGTAACTTTTTCAACGTTGTGGGCCATTGCTCATCGAAGTCGTGTCTGGCTCAATTTGTCCGGGACGTCAACCTCTTAAGTCTCATATTCTTCGTGGCCTTCTCCAAGTCTTTATATTCGCAAATCTGTAGACAAATAATGTTAAGGAATATTGCTGATAAGTTATGCCTTGTAACAACATAATTCTTATTAACTAGTTCAACAAATATCAACAGCGATCCAGTAACTTTATCAACGTTGTGGGCCATTGCGCATCGAAGTAATGTCTGGCTCAATTTGTCCGGGACGTCAATCTCTTAAGTCTCATATTCTCCGTGGCCTTCTCCAAGTCTTTATGGTCGCAAATCTGTAGACAAATAATGTTAAGGAATATTGCTGATAAGTTATGCCTTGTAACAACATAATTCTTATTAACTAGTTCAACAAATAACAATGGAGAAATTATTGATATCGCAATTTACGGTCACGTGTGAAGCCAAATTCTTGTCACAGTGAGAAATGATTCCGTTCAAAAATTCGTATGTGTTTCGTGTTCACTGTGTCATAAATACTTGCTCATTTATGTAAAGAGTATAAGATGTATTCACACTGTAGAGATTTTTCTCGAGGATATCATCGAAGACATACCTTCAGAACACATTAAAATGAAATTTTCCCATGAACTTCGTGTACTTACCAACAACGTGTCTGCAATCCTGCCCAGTCATTCGGAGAGAAAGGGAGAGTCTTTGCGATGGTTGAATTAAGTTATTATCAGCTCGAAACACTGTCTTGTCTCCTTAAATAAATCTGCGGACGAGGTTCACGGATTTTCCTGAAATTTTGGTATGTTATAGTACATTAAAAAAGGGTCCCAAAAACAAAATTTTAGACCCCCAGCTTCTCTTTAAACGTCTATTTTCTATTTATATTTATTCTGAATCCCTAAAGTAATTAACACAACTAACTCAACAGCGATCTGGTAACTTTTTCAACGTTGTGGGCCATTGCTCATCGAAGTCGTGTCTGGCTCAATTTGTCCGGGACGTCAACCTCTTAAGTCTCATATTCTCCGTGGCCTTCTCCAAGTCTTTATATTCGCAAATCTGTAGACAAATAATGTTAAGGAATATTGCTGATAAGTTATGCCTTGTAACAACATAATTCTTATTAACTAGTTCAACAAATATCAACAGCGATCCGGTAACTTTATCAACGTTGTGGGCCATTGCGCATCGAAGTAATGTCTGGCTCAATTTGTCCAGGGTGTCAACCTCTTAAGTCTCATATTCTTCGTGGCCTTCTCCAAGTCTATGGTCGCAAATCTGTAGACAAATAATGTTAAGGAATATTGCTGATAAGTTATGCCTTGTAACAACATAATTCTTATTAACTAGTTCAACAAATATCAACAGCGATCCGGTAACTTTATCAACGTTGTGGGCCATTGCGCATCGAAGTAATGTCTGGCTCAATTTGTCCAGGGTGTCAACCTCTTAAGTCTCATATTCTTCGTGGCCTTCTCCAAGTCTATGGTCGCAAATCTGTAGACAAATAATGTTAAGGAATATTGCTGATAAGTTATGCCTTGTAACAACATAATTCTTATTAACTAGTTCAACAAATAACAATGGAGAAATTATTGATATCGCAATTAACGGTCACGTGTGAAGCCAAATTCTTGTCACAGTGAGAAATGATTCCGTTCAAAAATTCGTATGTGTTTCGTGTTCACTGTGTCATAAATACTTGCTCATTTATGTAAAGAGTATAAGATGTATTCACACTGTAGAGATTTTTCTCGAGGATATCATCGAAGCCATACCTTCAGAACACATTAAAATGAAATTTTCCCATGAACTTCGTGTACTTACCAACAACGTGTCTGCAATCCTGCCCAGTCATTCGGAGAGAAAGGGAGAGTCTTTGCGATGGTTGAATTAGGTTATTATCAGCTCGAAACACTGTCTTGTCTCCTTAAATAAATCTGCGGACGAGGTTCACGGATTTTCCTGAAATTTTGGTATGTTATAGTACATTAAAAAAGGGTCCCAAAAACAAAATTTTAGACCCCCAGCTTCTCTTTAAGGGGGGGGTATAGTTAATTTTTAGTTATTTTTGCTCATTTTTGAGATTAATTTTTTGAAATCTAGTAATGAAAATGTAGCAATATCGATTTGTACACTAAAAAGCATCACTTCAAAAGTACTCAGCTAAATTTTTGTTGAAAAATATTGAAAAATGAGCCTGGGGGATCGGTTTGAAGAAAACACGTCGAAAAATGCGGTGTACACGATAACTCCTCGCAGAATCATCAGAAACAAGCCTAATGACATTTTTTTATTAGTTTAGAGGATTCTGAAGGTACTGACGTCAAGTTTTTTAAAATATTTTCATTTTTGAAAATTTGGCGTGATTTTGAAGTTGAAAAAATGGGAAAAAATCGAAAAAGTGCACTTTTTTTTTCGGAAAATTGTTAAAAAAAATGAAAATTTTCGCAAAAATGAAAATATCTCGACGTCACTACCTAGTAAAATAGTTAATAAATAACGGTGTAAAATTTCAAAAAGATCGGTCAATAAGTTTTTGAGATATGATGTACACCGTCTTTGAAAATGCTATTGTTCAGGAAACGCGTTGTAAGATTTTGAGGTCCAGTCCTTCTTCCTTATTGCACGTGCGTTAAAATGGCAATATCTTGGTTAATTTTGCTCCGATTGGCTTAAAATTTTAACTGAATACTCTTGAATGTATATAGAATCGAATAAGACATTAAAAAAAGTATCGAAAATTTTTGCGAAAAATACCATACCCCCCCCCCTTAAACGTCTATTTTCTATTTATATTTATTCTGAATCCCTAAAGTAATTAACACAACTAACTCAACAGCGATTTATGGTCGCAAATCTGTAGGCAAATAATGTTAAGGAATATTGCTGAGAAGTTATGCCTGGTAACAACATAATTCTTATTAACTAGTTCGACAAATAACAATGGAGAAATTATTGATATTGCAATTTACGGTCACGCGTGAAGCCAAATTCTTGTCACAGTGAGAAATGATTCCGTTCAAAAATTCGTATGTGTTTTGTGTTCATTGTGTCATAAATACTAATAATATGATATAATATAATGCATATGAGGGCTTTTCGAGTACCCTATTTTTCGAGTTTTACTCGACTCGAACTCGACTCGTCAAGATTTTTTGAGTACTCGCACAGCCCTAATGCAAATTAATATAAAATAATAAAAAGGAACCGTTCCCTCCACGTTGGTCAAAGGCGGTTCATCATGCTGCAGTAGAAACTTGGTCACTCTATTGTGGTCGATGGCCACGGTCAAGCATATTGGAGAATTTGATGAGAGCGAGGCCATTGGGATCTAGCTCGAGTTTGAAGAAATTCTCGACGATTTCATGGAATCCATACCTATGGAATACATTAATATAAAATGAAGTTTTCAGAATGATCTACGTTAAATCTTAACTTAGCGGTCCTGCTTAGTCATTCGGAGAGAACGGGAGAGAGTCTTTCAGAGCTGCGACGAGTGTGAGCCGATTTTGAGCGAGGCCGTTGGGATCTAGTCCGAGTACAAAGAATTCCCCGACGATGTCATCAAAGCCATACCTACTCGGAGAGAAATAACAAGGTTATATCCCATCGCAGATGTCCACGGTATAGGGGAGAGACGGGCTTGAGTGCCACCCAAAATTTAAACTTGCGTCCAGAAGCGAATTTTTAAAATTTTTCCAATCTGAAACAATCATTGCAAAGGCGAGCTCAAGCTCTATAACATATATTAAAATTGAAATATTATAATGAAATTTCAATTTTTTATTGAATTTCAAAAAATTTGTCACAATTGCCCGTCTTTTTTCAATGGCGGGCAATTGTGCCATAGGAGTCGGGCACGAGTGTCATGTATATTATCATGCAAGAAATACATGCGCGTGTGAGAATAATATAATTTTTTACTCAAAAACAATGAAGTTTAGAGAAAAAGTTTATGGAACAAGAAAGTCTCAACATTTATCGAGAAACATTCTCATAAATTTTCAAAATTTTTTGAGATTTTTTTAAGAGATTGCCGGAATATCGGATTGTCGGAAAATTGAAAATCGTCTCCGAAAATTCTGAAAAAATTCGGGGCTTTTCTTTTATAAATTTTAAAACTTTTTTGTTTTATAGACTTTTTCTCTAAACCCAATGGTTTTCAAGATAAAAATCGAGTTTGGTTTTTTATAAACATTTCACTTGAGGGACGCCATTTTGTTAGAAAAAGTAGATAAAAAAATTTGGGAAAATTCCCTACGGTACTTCTACACCTATGATTACCTCTGATCATATTTATATCTTGAGTTTTATACTGCAACACTTAGAAAAAATGTCTTAAAGTTGATTTTTCGCACAAATTTTTACGTTTGTTTTTGTTTAAACAACCATAACTTTTTGACGAAGCATCAAATCTTAAATTTGAGCCCGGATTCTAAAAGGGCATTAAATTTTACATAAAATTATGGGTCAAAATAATACTTTTTTACAAAACCGTGCGCACGTATGTCACCGATCTTGACGCGCTTTTGGTATGTTATAGTACATGGTAAAAAGGTCCCAAAAAAAATGTTTAGACCCCCTCCCCCCTCCTACCCCCCACTTCCGGTATAAACGTCCATTTTCGATCTATATTTTTTCTGAGGACTTGAAGCAATTAAAAAATCTGTAAAAATTCACAAAAATACTTTTTAACAATCCAAACAACCTTAAATTTTTTCAGATTTTTTAAGTGCTTCAGGCCTTCAGAAAAAATCATTGAAAATTCTGAAAATCGAGATACGGCGATATGAGCCGATAAAATAAACGGAAATTTTTTCAGTTTTTTATTGCATTGGAAAACATAACCTCAATTTTTTTCAGATTTTTTCAGATGACCTAACGCACCTTTTGAAGCCAAAAACCGCTTTTTTTGACGAAAATAATTTTTTTAGGACGGTACGGAGCCTCAAAAAATCTGGAAAAATATTTTTCTTGTTTTTTTCATTAAAATACATAACCTCAAATTTTTTCAGGTTTTTTAATTGAAGGCCATAGCTTCTAAGGCCGGAAAATGCTATTTTTAACAAAAAAAGGTTCCTAGAACCCGATGGTTCCGGTGAAAAAATTTGAAAATATTTTTAAAAAAATTTTAAAAAAATTTAAAAATTTAAAAATTTAAAAATTTGAAAAAAATTTAAAAAAATAAATAAATAAATGGAAAGTGCATAAGCATTGATAATATTACAAAAAAAATTACATTTAGGAAATTTCAGCAAGAATTTCGGGGAAAAGCAAGAATTTTCGAAAGAATTGTTGACTTCACCGCTTAATATATGAGACGGGCTCCAAGCCCCCTGCAGGCCCTTCTGAGAAGAAGGTGTCTTCTAACGAAAGAAAGAGAAAGAAAAAATATATAAATAAGAAATTTCTTAAAACAATTGTGTCTTTTTTCTCATTTCTTTCTATGTCTCATGTCTCATACAGTTATAGAAAAGTACATAGGCATTAAAGTTACAAGAAAATAAAAAAATGAATGAAAAATTTAAAAAATTTAAAAAAATAAATAAATAAATGGAAAGTGCATAGGCATTGATAATATTACAAAAAAATTACATTTAGGGAATTTCAGCAAGAATTTCGGGGAAAAGCAAGAATTTTCGAAAGAATTGTTGACTTCATCGCTTAATATATAAGACGGGCTCCAAGCCCCCTGCAGGCCCTTCTAAGAAGCAGGTGTCTTCTAACGAAAGAAAGAGAAAAAAAAAATATATAAATAAGAAATTTCTTGAAACAATTGTGTTTTTTTCTCATTTCTTACTATGTCTCATGTCTCATACAGTTATAGAAAAGTAGATAGGTATAAAAGTTACAAAAAAATAAAAAAAAATGAAAAATTAAAAAAATTAAAAAAAAATAAATAAATAAATGGAAAGTGCATAGGCATTGATAATATTACAAAAAAATTACATTTAGGGAATTTCAGCAAGAATTTCGGGGAAAAGCAAGAATTTTCGAAAGAATTGTTGACTTCACCGCTTATAATATAAGATAATATATAAGATTTTTTTTTTAGGGAATTTCAGCAAGAATTTTGGGGAAAAGCAAGAATTTTCGAAAGAATTGTTGACTTCACCGCTTAATATATAAGAAGAAGATATCCGAGTGCCGCACAGCGCGGCATTATCTAGTCGAATCATTAAATTTGTAACTCGCTGTAAAAGTATCTAAATGCACCTAGAAGAAAAATGTAACGCATCATTTCGATGGGAAATTTCCTCAGCTTTCCGATGATGAGCTCAGATTTTCCGAAATCTTCCACCCTACCCGGGAAAATCGACGGAAAAACTTTAAACTCAATTTTCCGGAATAAACCGAAAAATTTCGAAAAATCTGAGCTCATCATCGGAAAGCTGAGGCAATTTCCCATCGAAATAATGCGTTACATTTTTCTTCTAGGTGCATTTAGATATTTTTACAGCGAGTTACAAATTTAACGATTCGACTAAATAATGCCGCGCTGTGCGGCACTCGGATATTTGACATCAAATGTTGTTTATCAACACTTATTTATCAACTTTTTAATAGGATTAAAATTTCTAAATTCATATTTAGGTATGTACTTTCAATTAAAAATGATAAATGTACAAAATTCATCGTGCAACATTTATTATTTTGTACATTTATCGAATTTCCCATGTTATTTAAATTATTTTCGTCAAAAAAAGCAGTTTTTGGCTTCAAAAGGTACGTTAGGTCATCTGAAAAAATCTGAAAAAAATTGAGGTTATGTTTTTCAATGCAATAAAAAACTGAAAAAATTTCTGTTTACTATATCGGCTCATATCGCCGTATCTCGATTTTCAGAATTTTCAATGATTTTTTCTGAAGGCCTGAAGCACCTGAAAAATCTGAAAAAATTCAAGGTTGTTTAGATTGTTGAAAAGTATTTTTGTGAATTTTTTCAGATTTTTTAATTGCTTCATTTCCTCAGAAAAAATATAGATCGAAAATGGACGTTTATACCGGAAGTGGGGGGTAGGAGGGGGGGAGGGGGTCCAAAATAGTACTCTATGATACTAGTGGCATAAGTAACACTTTTTGGCACGGCGTAGTTTAGGGCCCGAGCGCAGCGAGTGGCGCCACCCCGTGGAAGTAATTGTAACTTACCTTGTATGCGGTTCTCCTTCGAAGAGAAAGCGAGAGAAAGAGAAAGTGTGCTGCGATGTGTGCGATGGTTATGTTGTGCGACATGTGCATCGAGTTTATTCAGTGTAGTCTTGTTCTTGTAGTTGGTATTGATCACGAAGTTGATGAGTGATTCTGATTATGTCTCGGTGTTATCGGATTTCATGGATTCCGTGAGAATTGATTTTTTTAGACGAAAAAGCCTCGGAAAAAAAGATGTTCGATCTTCCGATTTTTTGGATAACGTTGATAAAGAAATGCGTACCGTTATTCTTTGCTTAAATAGCTGTAATTTCACGTAAGCTCTTCAATCAGTCTCATTTTTTTTGATTAAGATGATCTACGTGTTAAAAATAGTAGTCGTTGATTCCGTTGACTCCGCTATCGCCATGAAAATTCTTATCGGATTCCTCACCGTACATAAACATCGTCCTGCACACTCACACACAAACACAGTCGCTTGGATGTTAAAATATTTAATTTTTCTGTATTATTGCTGAGTGGCATTGGCTGCTGCAAGTGCTCGCAGCCAATGCCACTTTTTTTCGTTCTTCACTCGTGGACTACTTAAACTAGACTAATGTAAGTAGGTAAACCTAAGCCATCGAGCGGAAACACAGAACAATTAAGACCTGTACACGAAAGTACTGTAAGAGAATTTCGGTTTCAGTATCACCGTTCCAGTAAAGCGCGATCAAAAAAATCTCTCCTGAAAACTTGCGGAGAAAAAAAGAGAGTTTTTTTCGCCGCCGATTTCTAAGATAGATTTTTTTGACCGCATTCGCATGAGTGATTGTCTTCGTACACGGAAAAACTTTTGACCATGTTTCACACTCGAATGCATAGAGATACATTCGCGCTCTGAGTCGAGCACAATTCATGCTCAGTCTCAAGCGCGAAACACCCTCGGGTTCTAATGATTGTGAACTAATATTGAAACTTGGATTTAATTTTAGGTAAACTTGCCATATTTCGAATACTCATAAAAATCGTTCTTTTTCATTTACTGTAAGTATGGAAATTTTGAAAATTTTTATAAAAGTATCGTCTGCACGGCAATCGAGTTCGAGACTATTGGCCTCGAGTCTGTGACATGCAGCGCCCATGGTGTCAGGCAAATGAACTGTGAGCGGTCAATGCTAGTCAGAGTTTCCCTACAGATAATAAGCTATTTGCCTATAGAGTAACTCGCAGAAATGCTTGTTTTATCAATGTAATGTTGTATTATCAATGATTGTTTATATATCAGTTGTTTATGGTGGGTGCCTTCGTAAATACATGCAATCGTACACATTTGTAGGCCTCCCCCAGTTCATGATACCGCCACCGCGCGCTTGGCGCTGCAGTCGAGACTCGAGGCCCATACTTTCACATCTATTGGGAAGTAATGCGAGTGCCCTGGAGGGGGAAAAAATCCAATATGTCCTCTATAGCCATGAGGTTTAACATAGGAGTGTATGGGAGGTTTACAGTTTTTCGCTCATATTTCAAAAAATATGCAAATTTTCGGAAAACTGAGGACATCAATCGATTCCTCGTCAAATTTTACATCGGAAATGATTGTCGACTGCAAAAGTGTTAGTGTAAAATTATTCACAATATCGAGTTAAACAGAGAAATTCGACTATGAAACGGGGCTCTCGCTTCGCTTTGACGTGATTTTTATTTGTTTAACTCGATATTGTGAATAATTTTACACTAACACTTTTGCAGTCGACAATCATTTCCGATGTAAAATTTGACGAGGAATCGATTGATGTCCTCAGTTTTCCGAAAATTTGCATATTTTTTGAAATATGAGCGAAAAACTGTAAACCTCCCATACACTCCTATGTTAAACCTCATGGCTATAGCGGACATATTGGATTTTTTCCCCCTCCAGGGCACTCGCATTACTTCCCAATA